TCATCGAGTTTTAGATATGTAAGGCTGCTTGGAATATCTGGTTTGTAAAGCGTATTGTTATCGAGACTTCGTCTGGTATTCAGATTTAAATTCTGGTTTCTTTTTACGTAGCAAAAGTTACACAGTTCTATGCAGTGGAGGGATAAAGGTGTTTAGCAAGGAGGGAAATCTTGTGTAGCATATGTTGTAAAGATAACATCGGAGATTAATTGTGTTACCAGTAAAAATCGATTCTAGCAGCCACTCGGTTTTGGAATGGCTTGTAAACAGAATACATATATATATACACGCATATATATATATATATATATACAGAGCGAGAAGTATAAATATTAATTCGAATATTTTTCTCGAATATCTAGCTCATTAACACCAAGTGTTTTTAGCAGTATAAACTAAAGGTCGATCAACAGCCTTCGAAGACTCGATAATTTAAAAATAATGTCCATAAAGTCACGTCGTAATAAAATTGCCTAATTCTCATGGCTTTGATCAGGTAAAATACCGCCAGAAATTGACACGGCTTTCTCTAACGATAACAGATAAAATTTTCGAAGTATACGTGAAATATCGAAGCGGTTTTAAAAATCATATATCATAGAAGCTTAAATAACAATTTTTCAAGATGTGCAAAATAAAAAGTTATTTGTTTTAAACCAATGATCCATTGAAATTAATAACTTAACTACCGAATAATCCCCCGTTGACCGATCAATTACTTTCTATTAATACATTTTATATCGCGAAGCATTAAGTCCATGGTTGCAACGATCATCGAAAATATTACAGGAAAATTATTAACCATTTAATACGACCGTTGACTTGTATATTTATTGCGGAAATGCACTCTCAGGAAACATTGTCAATCGTTTCATGGTTTTATTGCTTAATCCTTAAGGACTACTTCAGGCTATTCCTCGAAGGAACTTTCCGATAATTCCATTTGCCTGTAATATTCCAGCGATTTCATTTATTTCTTCCACGAAATGAAGCCTCGTGTAAATGAAATCGATATCCTGTCGCAAGAGTTTCACGGAGAAAAGGTTTTTCCTAGTTTCGACCTTTGCATAACGTTGACCATGTGCTATTCGGTGACGTTGACGATCATCAAGGATATGGAAACTCGAAGAGGAAGTGTGATTGCCTTCCTGTTGCTCCCTTCTCCTTTTTTCTTCGCCATTCTGGCGTCGGGTCGTCCCGGAAATAGCAACCCACTCATGGACGCGTTGCAACACCTTTTTTACCTATTTTGTAAATGTACAAATATATTAAAAGATATTTTTTATTATGATATACTGAGATGCGACTACTTTGCAAATGACGACTTTTAATATCGAGGCACGATATCCCGCGTGTCTTTTTCTTACTGTCAAGCACGTTAGTATGAATGATGTCGCGTCACATGGTATCTCTTTGATAGACGCGAAGAAGTTAATTAATGCGTCAGCGTAACTTGTACTTAAGCTAGAATCTTAATCGATATTCGAAGTTACTATAAAGTCGATAACAGGGAGACAATAAAATCAGAGAAAGTCTACGTCCTCGGGGATCATTATCTGTCTTGCACGTCGAATGAATTACGATGATGAAAGTTTCACAAGGCTAACCTTTTTTCTCGCATCGTAGTTGCGCGATACTAGCGCCCTGAAGTCACGAACTATCGTGATATCGTGAAAATAACGTAAATATATATTACAACAATTTATAATACCTAGAATGTAATTATCCTAATTATATATACCGAATGTAAGTATATATTTCGAGAGAATATTTTAACAGTCGCTTAATATCAGTTTGAAATATTTAAACATAAAGAATTTCGATAACATACATATACGACGTGTTGTTTAAAATGAATTTACTCAAAATTGATGAAACGTTTAAAATTATTCGTAAATCGTTTAAATAAAATTTATACACAGTTCGTCATTGGAGATTTCGATGTATGAGTTATCTTTTAAGCGATAAATTAGATAATTTCGAACACGATCACTTGGCGCAAAATTTGATGACGCGTTCGGATTTTCGACGGTAAATACGACATGAATTATCTTCGTGTAAGGGGAAACGTGTCTGTACAGTGGATTTTTATACGATCTCCCGTGTCGCGAAGTGAAATCACGTTCTCACGGGCAAAAGAGCCTCGAGAAAGCAATCGTCGCCGCGTGGCGTTGAAACAAGATCTGTCTGCGAGCGCATCGTGCGTGAATCGTGATAACGTTTCTTATCGACATCTGGCAAAAACTGAGAATGAAGTACGACTTTGCTTTTTTCTTCGAATCTTATAATTTTGTAATTTTTCCTTTCCTCTTTCTTCTTTTTCCTTTTTTCTTTGTTTGTCTTAAACGGTTTCAATTAAGGAGAACCAGAAAGGTATAATTATACTTGACGGTCATGATTTGGTGAATTTACATAGCTTATTCAAAAATCGCAATAGTATCGAAGCCAAATCTCAACCGGATGTTCCTTGTGAATAAATAGCAAAATAAATATAGTTTCGTTGTATCTCATCTAATTCGTCATCTGCGCTCATTCAACATGCTTTTCTCTTGAAGAATTTGTTTTAATTTCCCACAATTTGTTTTCTTCTTCCTTTTTATGTTATATTGTCGATATACAAAATATCGAGAAGCAGAATATTATAGAATGCAACATGTGGCTCGGTGTAAATTCGAATATGTTTTCATGTTTCGTTATCTGCCTTTTATTTCGTTGAAAGTTGCTTGGGGAAGTCGTTTCGCGTTCAAGACGAAAATCACCTTATCTCCACGTTTCCAACCGATTCCCTTGTTGTCACTCATAAATGTACTACATTGGATTCGTCATCCAGGAACTTAATGACTATAAATAATTGTCGCGGGACAGTTATCGCTACAGCAGTTTAAATCATTCTCGTAACCGAGAATCTCATATTTTCGTATAAATATACGTTTTAAAATGTACTGCGGAATCTATAACATTATCAGGCAATAAATATACAACGAATCCCTTATCGAACATGGATAAAAACACGAAGACTGTAATTGCATATATATGTATAATGCAAGTCCAGGAGTAAATAATAATTTGTTAATTAAACTGTTATAGAAGAACTACATACACGGAAATAATAATAAATGAATAAATCAGGGTCCATCGATAACGCAACGATCCTCAACCTAAAAGAAGCCTCAATGAATAAGTTACATAACTTAACACTAGAACTATTACAATTAGGTTAATTATTATACTTAATTCATTTAAGTTAAATCATTCGAATTAGTTAATTAAGCTAAGTAAAATATGACTAGTTTTATGTTTGTTATTTCTGCAATTATTGAGAATTGGCTACTGCATTTGAGAAAATTGCCTTTTATTATAAGAACAAATATTATATATCCCTAATTACCTTCATCGTAACACTTTAATTAATATTATTTACATATTCTATATTTATATCATACTTTTTACGTATATAGTATATCCTGATAGTTCTAGTGTTAAATAAACAGTATCGTGAAACGTTGAATTTTAACAAATTTCGAGATCGTCAAAATAACGATACGTAAAGGACGAAGCTTTGGGAAAGCGCCGAGAAAATGCAGAAGAGTGTGTCGGATGATACGAATTTAAGGGAGCTTGAAGAACCGTGTTGATGAAAATTTCGAAATACCTGACCCAGACCTGAAAACTTCGTCCTCTTCTTACCGGCGTTTATTATGGATTTTACAAAATCAAAAATAGCAATTTGTCGAAGCAATGATCCCTACCGTGGACGTGGCCTCGTATCACGGAAAGATGAAACACGGTTGACGTCAAGACATTACTCTTCGTCAGAGTTGCTCAGCGAAGAAGAAAAACGTCCTCATCTTTTTGCATTCCGCGCGTCGATAACCGCGTGTCTATCAATGAGCCGCAATCCGTGAATGAAAGAAATGATCGATAAACGAAACAATGGGGTGAGACTTCGTAATATCACTGCGAGACCCATAACGAAAGAAGCTACTATAGTAGGTACCTTTAGGTACGAAGAGAAGTTTTGGAAGATTCGAAAATAAATAACTTTCAATATTTGGATTTTGAGAATACCAATTTGTTCCAACGAGCGAAAACAATTTTAATCGAGCCGAAGAATTTTTATATTCTTACTCGGATCGTTGAATGAGTTTGGTTTCCCCTTTGCCACGATTCGAGTAATTTGGAATATCGTTTATCACCGCTTGAATTGATCAAAAAGTATGAAAGATTTTTAAACAAATCGAGTGATTTAAGAATTCACAAAATTGTTCACGTTTACTCGAATAAATCGAAGAACACGAAAAATCGGTTTTTGAACGAATCGAGTGATTTCAAAATTTCCGGCGTTTCCTCGGACAATTGATTAAACGAACTCGTTTCTTACTTATCCACAGGTCGAGTACTTTGGAATAGACCAAAGGATACGCAAGATCTGTTTTTCGATAAATCGAATGATTTAAAAATTTCATTTTTGCTCAATTTCGATATTCTGATAGTTGAAAAATATTCCTGAGCAACTCGCCTGATCCAAAAATCCAGTTTTGAGTAACTTAAGTGATTCAAATCGTCTTATTACCTTCCACGATATAAAGAAAGATCCTAATCTAATCGACGTAGCAATTGGAAAATTTATAATTCGTGACGACACTAGAAGATTAACTTGAATGAGCCACCAGCAACGTATATGGAAATTCCTAGTATCTGCTTCCCCGCTTTCCTGTTTGTCTCTTTGCTTCTCTCACTCTTT